CAGAAAAATTCAGAGGATATGGAAATTATAATTTTTGGTGAGAAAGTAATATTATCGGTCAAGGTGATATCGATAATGATTGTGAAGAAAATGATGTCAGAAATATATATATATATAGCTTTTCTGGATAATGGGATATATACTCAATTAATTAAAGTAGAATTGTCTGATAATTTCACCAAATTGGGAATTTATAGATGTCTTTTAGATAAATTTATGGGGTTACCTCCAGATTGAGAGGTGGAATTCAAAGTTGATGGTTATTAAAGTATTGAACATGTTTCTCTACTTTCGTATCAAATGACTTAAGTAAGCCAAGAGAATTAGGGGCTCAATTATAAGAGTTGATTGATCAAAATTTTATTAGTCCGAGTATTTCATCTTGGAAAGTATTTGTGTCATTAGTGAAAAGAAAGATAAACTTATGTTGTTATTAATAGATTTTGACAGTTAAATAAGACTCTTCGAGAGAAGAAATTGTATGCCAAACTATTCCAATGTGAAATTCTGGTTAGCAGAGATAGTTTCTTTGGCCATGTTGTTTTAGCATAAGGTATAAGAAGAGATCCTAAGAAAAAATCATGTTGTAGTGACTGGAAACTCCCAAAGAATTATCCTGAATTTTGAATTTCTTTGAGGGCTTGATGGCTACTATCGAAGGTTAGTGAAAAACCTTTTGACGTTAGCTTTACTGCTAACCAAGTTTTTAAAGAAAGATATGTATTTTGTAGAACGAAAAAGGGTCAAGAGAGTTTTGAAATGCTAAAGAAAATTGTAATAGAGACACCAATATTTATACAGCTTGAGTTGGGTAAGGATTATGTGGTTTTTACTGATGCATGTATCAACAGTTTAGGAAGTGTGCTTATGTAAAAAGGTAAGTGTTGAAAACATTTTGATGTTTCGATATAACAAATTAAGTTAAATGAATTTTAAGATTTTATAAAAGGTTTTCTAAAGTATATTCGATATAATTATTCGAATATCAAAATATTACTCCAAGTCTTTCAAAGTTCATTTTAATCCTTACTAAAGTGTAAAAATATGTTAAACAAGTTTACAAAGTATTTCGAGCCTTAATCGAGTCAAAAATCATTTCTTAATTAAAATCAAACCAAAATGGGCAGATTGCCCAGAGGGAACCGATTCCCCCCAAGGGGGTATTGATTCCCCCTGAATGGTTTGGCTCCGAGAAATAATAGAATGCTCGGAGGGAATTGATTCCCCCAAGGGGGTACCGATTCCCCCTGTTCAACGGTCGAAATATTTGAATTTTACACTAAGGGAATCGATTCCCTATGAGGGGGTACCAATTCCCCCTACGCTCCAAGCAGTTTTATTAATTGTTTTCATACTTAAACGGCTCCATTGATTCAACTAATCATCCCAACGTTTAGAATCAATTGAAGGAGTATTTAAACAAGCTTAGAAGCCATTGATCAACAACAAGAAACAACAATCAACAAGAATCAAGAGAGAATCAAAGAGAAAGCATCAAACCTTAAATTTGAGCATTTTCAAGCCTATTTCATTCAATATTCATTTTTGCTTTCAAGAACACTTATTGTGCTCAATTGTATTATTCTTGAGTGTTCTTTATTTGTTCTAGAATTGTGCAAACACATTTGCCTTGTGAGGTTTTTCATTAAGTTTGCAAATTTGTAATATTCTCTTTGAGAAAGAGTGTTCTTAAGAATTGGGGTATATTCTTGAGGGTGTTGTAAGGTTATTTTTTTGGCCTCAAAAGAAAGAACAAATTAGTGAATTTGTTGGAAAATCCTTAGTGTGGATAGCTAAGGTAGTGGACGTAGACTTTGTTTGAGAAAGTCGAACCACTCTAAATCACTGTGTAATTACTTTCAATTTTCTGCAAAAGCTTCCACCAAATTTTTAATCACCAATTCACCCCCTCTTGGCCAATTCCATCGATCGATTAACTCAACAATTGGTATCAGAGCCTCACTCATTTGAAGGTTTAATCACCTCTTGAGTAGATCCGGGAAGAGTTACATCGATATTCAATTCATCAATGGCCGACGCTTCAAACTCCGACTTCGTTTTCGATTCAATGCCTGTCAATAAGCCTCCTTTCTTCAATGGAGCTAACTATGCTTATTGGAAGAATATAACGATGTACTTCATTCAAGCAAGTGACATGGGAGCATGGAATGCCATAGAAGATGGATACATCAAACCTTCCACTCACCCAAGATTGTGGAGTGAAGTTGAGACAATAATGTTCTAAATCAACTCCAAAGCCATCCATATTATTTTTTGTGCTCTTGGACCGGATGAATATGGAAGAGTTTCATCTTGAACAACCGCCAAAGAAATATGGGACAAACTATAAGTCACTCATGAAGGCACCGACAAGGTAAAAGAATCTAAAATTAGTCTTCTAACTCATACCTATGAAAATTTCAGGATGAAACCGGATAAAGACATCAAAACTATGACGGATATATTTTCCACGATTGTAAATGGTATCAAATCATATGGAGAGATTATTCCAAATGAAAAGCTTGTGACGAAGTTGGTTTACTCACTTCCAAAATCGTGGCAATCAAAGAAGACAACTATCATTGAGGCTAAGAACTTAAAGTCCTTAACCCTTGAAGAATTAATCGGTTCACTCCTTACTCATTAAAATGATGCTTCACGATGAGCTAGACCTCGATAAGACTGATGAGACACCAAAGGAGAAGGAGAAGGAGAAGAAGAAGAACGTTGGTGTTGCTCTCAAATCCACAAAAGATGAGAGTGATTCAAATGAAGATGATGATGACGAGGAAATGACATTATTTTCCAAACAGTTCAGAAAATTAATGAGGCCCAACCGAGGAAGAAAATTCAAACAAAATGAAGGCTTCAAAATTGAACCAAAGGAGAATGACCCGATCATTTGCTACGAATGCAAAAAGACGGGGCATATCAAATATGGTTGCCCTCAATTAAAGAAAAAGGGTCAATCCAAGAAGAATCACAAGGCTCATATGGCTACATGGAGCGATGAAGAAGATTCCGATGAAGAGGAACAAGAAGTAGCAAACTTGTGCTTGATGGCATTCGGGGAAGATTCTCAGGTAACCTCTAGCTCATTTAATTTTGAATATTATTCGTTTGATAAGCTGTTAGAGGAATATAATGGGTTGACTTCAGATTATGAGAAATTATTTGTAAAGTATAAAAATGATATTTCAAAATTGAAAAATGAAAATAATCTCATATTCAAGACCAACAATGATCTTGAAAGTAAAATAAAAAAATTGCAAATCAAACTAGAAGAGTTTGAAAAGAAAAATTTTGATTTGTAAAATTTACTTTCAAAGGTCAATGATGATCATCAAAAGGAAATTGATTATCTTAAAGCTTCTTTTGATAAAGTTAGAACAAAACATTTTGAAAATTGAGAAAATTCAAAATTCAACTTTGTTAGAAAAAGTTTTAAAAACTATAATCATAGAGGTCCCTGAAGAACCTTTAATGGAAAAATCGTTAGAAGTATATGGGTTCCTAAAGAACTCATTACTACTAAAGATAAGGATATCCTTCACAAATGGATACCTAAGGGGAATAGGATTTTGGAAACTAATGAATATGGACCCAAAAGAATTTGGGTACCAAAAATAAAAAATTAATTTATGTTTGTAGGAAAAGGAACATTGCTACAAGGCACGAGAAACAAATTCAAACTCATGGTACCTTGATAGTGGATGCTCAAGACACATGACCAGAGACAAATGCCGGTTCATAGAGCTCAACACAAAAAATGGAGGAGAGGTGACTTTTGGTGATAACTCAAAAGGTCACATTGAATGTATATGCACTATAGGTAATACCTCTTCCATACAAATTAAGAATGTTTTATATGTGAATGGATTAAAGCATAATCTATTGAGTATTAACCAATTGTGCGATAAGGGGTTCAATGTCATGTTTGATATTAATGGTTGTAAAGTCATTGACATTGCATCTAATCGGATTATGCTTGTTGGTCATAGAATAAGAAACATTTACATGGTGCATTTAGATTCTATAGATATGACTAATTTATGCCTAGTTGCTAAGGATGAGCATGATAGTTGGTTATGACATAGGAGACTAGGACATGCTAGTATGAGTGTTTTGCAACGGTTAATTCAAGGAGATTTAGTTCGAGTGTTGCCTAAACTAAAATTTGATAATGGTAAAATCTATGATGCTTGTGCTAAAGGAAAACAAAAGCGAGTTTCTTTTAAATCCATTAACGACGTATCCACTAGTAGAGTATTATAATTAATCCATTTAGATCTTTTTGGGCCATCTAGAACTACTAGCTTGGGCGGAAAACAATATGCATTTGTATTGGTAGATGACTATTCTAGATATACTTGGGTTCTATTCTTAAGAACTAAAGATGAAGCATTAGAAAAATTCATCACGGTTTCAAAAGTAATCCAAAATGAAAAAGGTTACTCTATAACTAGTGTTAGGAGTGATCATTGAACTGAATTTGAAATTCTTGGATTTATGGAATTTTGTAATTCTAATGGTATTAGCCATAATTTTTTAGCACCTAGAACCCCTCAACAAAATGGAGTTATTGAGAGGAAAATTCGAACTTTAGAAGAAATGGCTAGAACCATGCTTTGTGAAAACAATTTGCCAAAATATTTTTGGGCGGAAGCCACAAATACCGCTTGTTATGTTATTAATCGAGTAATGATTAGGCCTATTTTGAAGAAAACTCCATATGAACCTTTTTAAAGATAAAAAGCCTAACATTAGCTATTTTCATCCTTTTGGATGTAAATGTTTTGTTTTAAACAACAGTAAAGACAATCTTGGCAAATTTGATGCTAAAAGTGATGAAGGAATTTTTCTGGGTTATTCCTTAAATTCTAAAGCTTATCGAGTATTTAATAAAAGAACTTTAGTTGTAGAAGAGTCTATACATGTTGTTTTCGATGATAATCCCCTTTCGAGGAATGATTCTTGTGTGAATGATGATGTAGGTATTATAAACATAAATGACGTTGAACATGACGTTGGAGAACCATCATCAAAGGAAGAAACGAAAGATGAGGAAACTCAAGATCCTCTCGAGAATCCAACCATTGAAGAAAGGGAAGTCTCTTACCCAAAGGAATACAACTATGTCAAGGATGGTGAAATAATAGGTGATCCATCCAAAGAGGTAACAACTTGATCTTCTCTTAGAAATATTTGTAATTATATGGCATTTATCTCATGCATAGAGCCTAAGAATATTAAAGAAGCATTAAATGATGAACATTGGATTATGGCTATGTAAGAAGAGTTAAATCAATTTGAGAGAGGTAAAGTATGAACATTAGTTGAAAGGCCTAGTAATAAGTCTACTGTAGGTACTAGATGGGTATTTAGAAATAAGCTTGATGAGAGTGGTAATATAGTGAGAAACAAGGCTAGACTTGTTGTTCAAGGGTATACTCAAGAAGAAGCCATAGACTATGATGAAACATACGCTCCCGTAGCTAGGATGGAAGCAATTAGAATGTTATTAGCATTTGCATGTTTCAATGAATTTAAATTATATCAAATGGATGTTAAAAGTGTATTTTTAAATGGTTTTATAAAAGAAGAAGTGTATGTGGAACAACCTCTTGGTTTTGAAGATTCAAAATTTCCAGATCATGTTTTAAATTGACAAAAGTGTTTTATGGTTTAAAACAAGCTCCTAGAGCTTGGTATGAAAGATTGTCAAAATTTTTAATTGAAAAAGATTTTTCAAAAGGGAAGGTTGATACTACATTGCTTTTAAAGCATAAAGGTAAAGATTTATTAGTAGTTCAAATTTATGTTGATGATATAATATTTGGTTCTACTATTAATGTTCTTTGCCAAGAATTTTCTAAGCTAATGCAAAGTGAATTCGAGATGAGCATGATGGGGGAGCTCTATTTTTTCTTGGGACTCCAAATCAAGCAAAGAAAGATGACATCTTCATCAATCAAGCTAAATACGTCAAGGATATGCTTAAGAAGTTTGGACTGGAAAATGGGAAACCTCATGACATTCCAATGAGCTCATCTACAAAGCATGACAAAGATGAAGGAGGTAAATGTGTGGATGTTAAATTATATAGGTCAATGATTGGCTCTTTTCTTTATTTAACCACAAATAGACCAGACATTATGTTTAATGTTTTCTTATGTGCTAGATTTCAATCATGTCCTAAGGAATCGCATTTACTAGCTGTTAAGATAATCTTTAGATACCTTAAGGACACTCATAGTTTAGGACTTTGGTATCCTAGAGACTCTAGCTTTAGTTTGCATGCTTTCTCTGATGCGAATTATGGAGAATGAAAATTAGATAGGAAAAACACCTCCGGTACTTTCCAATTCCTTGGAAATATGATGATTTCTTGGTTTTTAAAGAAACAAAACTGTGTTGCATTATCTACCACTGAAGCGGAATACATTTCAGTCGGTAGTTGTTGTGCACAAGTTTTATGGATGAAACAACAACTTTTTGATTATGGAATTGAAGTAGGTACCATTCCTATCAAGTGTGACAATACTAGTGCTATTTGTCTCACTAAAAATCCCATCCAACACTCTAGAACTAAGCATATTGAAGTTAGACATCACTTCATTAGAGACCATGTCGCTAAGGAAGATGTAGTTCTAGAATTTGTTGATACTTTTCACCAATTAGCGGATATCTTTACAAAGCCTTTAGAAAAAGAAAGATTTTGGACACTTAGGAGAGAATTAGGTTTAACTGACTTATCCTCACTTAGTGTTTAAATTATTTTAGCTCTTTTAAGAATAAATGAAAACTGCTTATAATAATAATAATTTTTGATTGCATTCTTTTCTTTTAGTTAGGGGGAGTTTATGATTCTTAGTGAAAATTATTTTTATGTTCAAATGAAGTTTAAGGATAAAATTGATTGATTGAACATGATTAATTTTCAATATATGAGTTGCCAATGCCACTGGAGCAAATTAATTTAGCATTTTGAGTGTTTAAAATTAGATTTTTTAGCATTTTGGTGCAGAGTGAATCGATACCCTCCTTGAAGGGGAACCGATTCCCCCCACGGGGTCTGGAATTTAAAACGGCCAGAATACCCTATTCTCTCAAACCCTCTCTTCTTTTCTTCTCACGCCATTCACTCTTTCTAACTCCCTAAAACTCTACTTTGCTTCAAAACAACTTTCTCAAGTCGGAATTTCATCATATTTCATCTCCTAAACCTGCTAGAATCTTTAAAATCGTGCAAACTTCATCCAATATCACTCAAATTCAAAAATCTTCAAGGTATTTTTCTAAAACTTCTATTTTATCAATTTTCATTTTAGGACTAGTTTTAATTAGTTCTAGGTTGAACTATATATCGGGCATTGATTATTTTATGTTTCTAAACTAAAGTTTACAACTAATTTCATCAAAATCTCACAAATTTTCATATGTTCTTGAATTTTCAAAATGAAAAAAAAAACAAAAATCTTTAATTAAATTCAAAATTTGTGTTTTTGATTTAATTATGTTGTTACTATGAAAACTATACGCATATTAATTTTCAAAACTTGTTTTTCAAATATTAATTTTCAAAACTTTTCCCAGTAGGATTCGGTTTAGAGAACCTTGAAATATTGCGGACTCAATTGAGTTTTGGGATTGATATTTATTGCATACATGTGTTTTAAAATTGCAGGTTACTCTTTCCATTCCGATTATCTTAATTCATGTCTCACAAACGTTCTAGACCTTCCTCTAGTCGATCAAACCAACCTCAAAATCCTCCTCCTATCCAACAAATTCCTAATCCCAATCCCGATGACCCTTCTATGACTATTCTTAATTCGTGCTTCAATGAACCAGGTCGTAGACAAAGTCTACTTTGTCTACGCTTTAGGTATTCTCAATACTTTAAGTCATACAAAATCCGGGAAGAACGAATCCCATCTATTCAAGCTATGTTAGACATTAATTTTAGATATCTTCCTACCCTTAGAGAGTGGAAATTTGATAAACTTTGTGAACTTGAACCAATAGTTTATCACCAACTTGTTCGTATCTTCTACTCTAATGCCGTTTGTGTCCAAAACTGGGATAAAACCGCAACCATAGGAATTCGATCCTATCTTCTAGGACGATTCTTTTATATTGACCCGGAATACATAGCCACTGCATTAAGATTAGATAATGACGGCTTAGAAAATGAAAAACAAATGGTAGGTTCTCAGTATAAACGAAGGGGTAGTGCGAGTGTCTTAGATCTCCATGATCGTTTCCTTCATTTAATGATCTCTTGGTGGTTTCGACCATCTGAAGGCCGTTACTCCACTCTTCGAGCCTTAGATCTATTTTGGCTACATTGTGTCCAAAATAATCTTAAAATCAACCTACCTCAGATTATTTTTGCTGAAATTGTCGAAACCGTAAATCTTGTTCCTAATAAGAAACTCTGTTCATCTCTAGTTTACGGTTGTATTCTGAGTAATCTATTTTTCTAAAGCCGAGCTTAGAGTTGGTCTTGATGCCGCTTTTCCACTCAAAAACCAAATCAATCTCTTTTCTTTAACTAAATCGGGATGGAAGATCAATGAAGAGACTGGTATTTAGGTTTGTACTGGAGAGCAACCTCCGGAAGCTGACGACGCTGACGATGAGCCGGAGCAGTACGAGGAACAAGCACGACTAGAGGATCAAATGCCTCCATATTTTCAATCCTTTATGGAGACATTTGCTTTCTAGTATGCATCCATGGATTCACGCTTCACTTCCATAGAGTCTCATTTATCCACAATGGGAGCTCAACAATTGGAAATTCTTGAGGAGATGCGCGCGAACAACGCAACTATGAATGAACGTATTAATGCGCTCACACATGAGATGGCCGCTATACGAGCTCATTTTCCTCCTCCTGATCCTCCTACGGATGCTTATTTCTTTGTCATGCTTTAGTACTTAGAAAGTATTGTTTTAACATTTTGGATGTTTGAATTTATGGATTGTTTGAATTTGGATGCTTAATTGTTTGATATTATTTTTGGATAATTTGAACTTATATGTGGATTTGCATAAATTTTAATTTTGTGCATCATTTTAGATACGTGACCAATTTTACCATTTCACATTCGTTTATGAATATTGATTATGAAACTACTGGCTAATATCTCTTTTGATTGTGTTCTTAGCAGCTTAAGCTTTAAATTTCTAAATGTCAATTGGCTAATTTTTCTTTCAAAAACACTGTTTCAAATGTTTTAGAGTCTTTTTGATTTAACAAAAAGGGGGAGAAGTGTTATAGTAAGGGGGAGTAATTTCAAAACTTGATTTTAAAAGTTTTAGAAAATCTTAAAATTACTAAAATGTTTTGTTATATAAAAAAGGTGGAGATTGTTAAAAAACATTTTGATGTTTCGATATAACAAATTAAGTTAAATGAATTTTAAGATTTTATAAAATATTTTCTAAAGTATATTCGATATAATTATTCAAATATCAAAATATTACTCCAAGTCTTTCAAAGTTCATTTTAATCCTTACTAAAGTGTAAAAATATGTTAAACAAATTTACAAAGTATTTCGAGCCTTAATCGAGTCAAAAATCATTTCTTAATTAAAATCAAACCAAAATGGGCAGATTGCCCAGAGGGAACCGATTCCCCCTCAAGGGGTACCGATTCCCCCTGAATGGTTTGGCTCCTAGAAATACCAGAATGCTCGGAGGGAACCGATTCCCCCTAAGGGTTTACCGATTCCCCCTGTTCAACGGTCGAAATATTTGAATTTTACACTAAGGGAATCGATTCCCTTTGAGGGGGTATCGATTCTCCCTACGCCCCAAGCAGTTTTATTAATTGTTTTCACACTTAAACGGCTCCATTGACTCCACTAATCATCCCCAAAGTTAAGAATTAATTGAAGGTGTATTTAAACAAGCTTAGAAGCCATTGATCAACAACAAGAAACAACAATCAACAAGAATCAAGAGAGAATCAAAGAGAAAGCATCAAACCTCAAGTTTGAGCATTTTCAAGCCTATTTCATTCAATATTCATTTTTGCCTTCAAGAACACTTATTGTGCTCAATTGTATTATTCTTGAGTGTTCTTTCTTTGTTCTGGAATTGTGCAAACACATTTGCCTTGTGAGGTTTTTCATTAAGTTTGCAAATTTGTAATCTTCTCTTTGAGAAAGAGTGTTCTCAAGAATTGGGGTATATTCTTGAGGGAGTTGTAAGGTTATCTCTTTGGCCTCAAAAGAAAGAACAAATTAGTGAATTTGTTGGAAAATCCTTAGTGTGGATAGCTAAGGTAGTGGACGTAGACTTTGTTTGAGAAAGTCGAACCACTCTAAATCGCTGTGCAATTACTTTCAATTTTCTGTAAAAGCTTCCACCAAATTATTAATTTCCTATTCACCCCCCTTGGCCAATTCCATCGATCGATTAATTTAGTAGTAAGGTTGTGGTATATGCCTTGATAAAGTTAAAGACTCACAAGAGGAATTATCTACACATGATTTAGAGTCAACAGTAGTCGAGTTGCCTTAAAAGTTTTGACGTTATTATCTGTATAGTGATTGGTACTATAGTTGTGCTAATTACAAAAGTCTAAAATACTTGTGGAATTGAAGAGAGTGAACTAGAGACAGAAAAGATGGACAGAACCTTTAAAGGTGTATGAAGTGATCATTGATTATATACCAGGAAAGGCCAATGTTGTTGTGGAGGTACTTGCTCAGAACCTTTTACAGTTTTGTGACCTATGGATGTGCAATTAGCGTTGTATAAAAATGGCATTGTAGGATGAATTAAAGATGACACTGATGTTTTATTAGAAATAATAATAGAATTACAAAGGAAAGAAAAAAATTTCTTGATAAGAATTGTATAAGTAGAAAATGAAGAGATTAAGGACTTTTGAGGCCAGGTTCGACGGATGTTCGTATTTCTTTGATGGCTTGCTGGTTACTATCGAAGGTTAGTGAAAAACTTTTCGATGATAGCTTTACTGCTAACCAAGTTTTTAAAGAATGATATGTCTTTTGTAGAACGAAAAAGGGTCAAGAAAGTTTTGAAATGCTAAAGAGAATTGTAATAGAGACACCAGTGTTTATACAGCTTGAGTTGGGTAAGGATTATGTGGTTTTCACTAATGTATCTATCAACAGTTTAGGAAGTGTGCTTATACAAAAATGTAAGGTTGTGGCATATTCCTCGATAAAGTTAAAGACTCGCAAGAGGAATTATCTATGCATGATTTAGAGTCGGCAGTAGTCGAGTTGCCTTAAAAGATTTGATGTCATTATCTGTATAGTGAGCGGTGCTATAGTTGTGCTAATTACAAAAGTCTAAAATACTTGTGGAATTGAAGAGAGTGAACCAGAGACAAAAAATATGGACATAACCTTTAAAGGTGTATTAAGTGATCATTGATTATCTTCCAGGAAAGGCCAATGTTGTTGTGGAGGTACTTGCTCAGAACCTTTTGCAGTTTTAGGAACTATGGATGCACAATTAACGTTGAATGAAAATGGCACTGTGGGATGAATTAAAGATGACACTGATGTTTTATTAGAACTAATAATAAAATTACAAAGGAAAGACGAAAATTTCTTGATAAGAATTGTATAAGTAGAAAATGAAGAGATTAAAGACTTTTTAGTTCAAGTTCGACGGATGTTCGTATTATCGTGGGAGACCTTATATTCCCGTCGATTAAGAATTTAGAAAGATATTCTTGTTGAGGCATTAAGTCCGTTGACTATGCATTCAGGTGGAAACAAGATGTACCAAGATTTAAAGAGTCGGTTGGGTGGCCTGGTTTGAAAAGAGCCATCACGAAAATTTTAGTGAAATATCTGACGTACTATTAGAGGAAAAGATGAACATCAAGTATCTTCTAAATTGTTTCAATCAATCTCGATTCATGAATGGAATATAGATCAGGGGAAAAATATTTGCTTTTAGAAGAATTTGCTTGCAATAACAGTTATTAATCGAACATCAAGATGGTTGTATACGAAGCCTTATATGAGAGAAAATGTTAAACACCATTAAATTAGTTTGAGTTAAAAGATCGAAATCTAGTTGGCCCTGATTTAATGAAAGAAATGAATTATAAAATGAAAGTTACCCAAGATAATTTTTAAGATCGCTTCTGATAAACAAAAGTCTTATGTTGATCTAAAGAGAAAAGTGACTGAACAACAAGAACGTGATAAAGTTTTTATGAAAGTATCGCATTGGAAGGAAGTATTGAGGTTTTGACTAAATTCGAGAATTTTTGAACCTTATGAGATTTTATCAGTTAGCTTTTGTCTCCCAAAATGGATAAGAACTATAATGTTTTCAAGTGTCATTGCGTATTAATTACCGATAAGATTCATTGCATGTTCTTACATTGGGGAAAATAAAGATTCGATCATATTTGAATTATGAAAAAGAACCAATACAGATCTAGACTTGAGAAATCCAGAAACCGCGTACCAAAACGATTCCTCTAGTTGAAGTGTTGTGGTAAAAGCATAAAGTCTTTAAATTCGAGGACGAATTTTCTTAAGGGGGAGAATTGTAATACCCTAAATATCAGGTCAGTGACTTAAGTGAAAAGTTTTAAAATTTGAGGATTTATTATAATAAATGATAAAAGATGAGAAAATGATTTGGAATAGTGATTTAGACTAAATTGTAGCAATGGATGATTAAAAGGGTATTTTGGTCATTTGGAATAAAATGAATTTTAAAACTCAAATTTTAATAGGGATTTAAGAAGGGGAAAATTAAAAAGAAAAAGGTTAAGTTATTTCTATTCTTCTTCCTCCAGTGACTTTATACCTCCTCCATAGCTAAGGTAAATCTCATCTAATTAGTTTTTTTCCTTTCGATTATGGTTTATTATTACAACCTTAAGTGATATGTAAGCTTAAGGAAGGGTTAAATAAGGTTAAAACTAGGAGATGGATGAAATATTAGAGATTTAAGAAAATGGGTTTTGGAATAATATATTAAGATATGAGATTTTATTGATGTTTATTAGTATATTTTACTTGTCAATGAAGTAAATAAGAGATTAGAAGCATTGGATGGGTTTAAAAAACATGTTAGAAAAAGTGGTGTGATTCTTAGATTGAAATGTTCTTGGGAGATTTTAGATGTTTTAAGAAGTTAAATGAAGGAAAGTTATTAGGGATAAGTAAATAAGAGTTTAATAGTATTGTTGGGTGTAAAAATAAGGAAATTTGACCAAATTTGGGTAAGAATCGGGTTGCAAAATGGAAAATCTGGGTAAGAGTATCGGTACTGATATAACAATCCGATACTATAGGCTTAAAATTGGAAGAATCAGTTTAACGATATCGATACCGATGCAATTGGTATCGATACTAAGAGAGGGTATCGATACTATGGAGAAGGTATCGATACCAATGATTACAAAATACATAAATTGTATTGATATTGTAAGGGAGTATCGATACCACAATATAGTAGTATTGGTACCATGGTAGGGGTACCGATACTATTGAGACATAAATTATAGGATAAGTTGAAATTGTTATAGAAAATTAAATAATATTACTTGTGAATATTATTAAAGTATAAATGTTAGGAATATACTAACATTTAGTATGGTATATGTCTTTAATGGATGCTTGTGTAGATCGTAATCAAACTCCCGAGTCAAGCAAAACAAAAGGCAAAGATAAAGTACCCGAGTAGTCAGATTTGCATTTTTGATATAATAACGCGGCAAGCAAGGTGAGTGCATTTATTATGTACTTATATGTTATGATAGTCATAGATGCGTGTTGCTTCATATATGTATGGTGATTACCAAATGCCATAAATGAAACGAATAACGGTGTATTAAAGGCATGAAAGGATGCCATAAATGAAATGCATAACGGTGCATTAAATGCATAAAAGTGTGCCATAAATAAAATGCATAACTGTGCATTAAAGGCATGAAAGGATGCCAATAATGAAATACATAACGGTGCATTAAAGGCATGAAAGGATGCCATAAATGAAATGTATAATGGTACATTAAAGACATGAAAGGATGCCATAAATGAAATGAATAACGGTGCATTAAAGGCATGAAAGGATGCCCTAAATAAAAATAATGAATAATTACTAAAGAATAATGGGAAAATGTACATAAAGAAAAATAGGTTGAAAATACCAAGAATGTTTACGATGATAGTATGAAAGAAATTTGATTTAAATAATAGAGACTTATCTAATTCTTATAGATGATACGAATTAGTTCAAAACCAAATAACCAAAATATACTTATGTATACATTATTGTTCTTTACAATATTATGTCTCACTAAGTATATACTTAATGTGTATTGATTTCACGCGTAGGTAACAACAAAGACTAGTCGGATACTAGGAGCAGTAGCAACTATCATCAATCTAAGGTTGATTCTCATCAGTAACAGTATGACAATCAGGTTTATTTTGGAAAAAAAATTACTGGCATGTAATCAAAATTAAGAAAAATTGTTATAGAATGTATTTAAAGTGATAACTCTGGTAATAGATTTCAATGACTATTTTATTATTGTATTAAAATTTTTTTGGTTTTAAATTGCAAATAAAATTTTATGAGTTTTACAAATGGGTGAATGTTTTTAAAAGTCATGTGACACCTATGACTTGTGTACGAAAACTATACGGGAAATGGGTGTTACATGAACAGTTAGGCGTTTAATCTTTTACCTAAAAACATTTAACCTTTCATCTAACTTGCATGATTAACACCTTTCTACCAAATGCATAGTTAGACGTTTAATCTTTTATTTTAAAACAGTTTATACCCTAAAAATCATTCATAATATCAATTTCACACACATTATAAACATATATCATATAAGTTAAAACATACATTAGTTTAAACATTTGAGGTGGACTTATTGCGAGTCTCCCTCAACCCATATAATTACAATATATCCACTCACCTGATATGTTTCCTTAATATGCTTTAGTGGCATTCAACTAATCGAAAACTTTGTCCTTGCCCTTTTTCTTGCTTGACTCGGGAGCTTGGTTATAATCTACACAAGCACTCATTTAGTACACATACCATACAAATGTTAGTATATTATCTAACATTTATACTTTAATAATACTCAAAAGTACTATTATCTTCAATTTCTATAACAATTTCAGTCTATCTTATAATTCTTGGCTCAATAGTATCGGTACCCATACCATGGTATCAATACGTCTATATTATGGTACCGATACTCCCTTTCAGTATCTATACCATTTCGGCGTTTTGGAATCCATGGTATCGATACTTTTCTTTTAGTATCGATACTTTTCTTTTAGTATCTATACCCCAACAATATCTATACTAATTGCATCAGTACCGATACTGTTCATCGTATTTCTACCCATTTAAACCTATAGTATCACTACTATACCCTTACCCAGATTTTCCATTTTCAGCTCGATTTTTACCGACATTTGGTCAAATTCCCTTAATTTAGTCTCCAACAATACTATTAACTCTTCCTTACTTATCTCAACTAACTTTCATTCATTTAGCTTCTTATAACATCTAAAATCTCCAAAGAACATCTCAAACTAAAAATCATACCACTTTTTCTAACATGTTTTTAATCACATCTAAAGCTTCTAATCTCTTATTTACTTCTTTGACAAGTCAAATCTACTAATAAACCTCAATAAAAACTCATATTTCAACATACCATTCAAAAACCCATTTTCTTAATCTCATTAGTTTTAATCCTCTTTAACCCTTCCTTAGGCCTCTATAACACTCAAGGTTTCAATAACAAACCAAAACTAAAGGGAAAAAAACTAATTAGATGAAACTTATCTTTGGCTATGGAGGAGAACACGTGAATACGTGAATAAGAATAAGCATGGATGGCTTAAATTTTGATTTTCCCTTTTCCTTTTTCCCTTTTCCTAATGCCCTCTTAATTCATCCATTGTTAGAATTTAGTCTAAACCACTACTCCAAATCATTTCTCATCTTTTATTCAAATAAATCCTCAAATTTAAAATTTTTCTATAAAGTCACTGACATGATATTTGGGGTAGTACAAGTTTAGTTTACTAACGAGAATAGAAAAAATAAGAAAATTTGCACATCCAAATTTTTTTAGAATTGAGTATTAAAATTTTGAACCCCTATTTTTTAATTTCTAGATCCGCAAAATTGGTTTTATTGTTTGTATTTTAGTATTTGCTTTTTTGAAAAAAGTACCAACATATTTTCTTTCATTATATTTAGCTAATTGCACTACATGTTATATAAGAATTTGAAAAATTATATAAAATATTGATATCGTTATTAAATTTTTATTAGTCAGAATTTTATAAAAAAAAGAATAATTAAAATATAAAAGAGACAATACATTAATGTCTAATAGTATAATTTATTTCTTTTATAAAATATAATAAAATTTAATAATGAAAATCTTAGGCACAAACTAACTTACCTCCGTGATTAAAAGAATATTTAGAATAATACTACTTTGTAATTACCTTAACTTAATAAAAATAATAATAATCTTAGAAATGAAAGTATTTTTAGATCATATTTCGAGACATACCAATAAAAAATGAGATAGAATAATTTCAAAATTATTAATAATTTTAACTTTAATTACTTAAATCTAAAAATTACATGCTCAAATCAATATCTTCAAGTTGATATATAAGATCATCTATACTAATTGAAATAATAAATTTAATCATGTGTATCCTTTAGACTTATAATACTTCAATTATTTTTATATTTGTATGAAGTTGGATTTATTAAAAATCATAATATATAAATTTTAAAGTATTTGAATATTATTTTGTATTACGTGTTATTGAATATATAACGAGTTATTGAATATTTATATGTTATATTTGTTTTGTTATATAGATTTACATTTTTATGGGTAAATTACATAATTCATCATTCAACTATCTTTTCACTCTTATTTTGGTCATTGAAGTTTATTTTTTTAATTTAATTATTTAACTTTTAAATTACTCCTAATTTAATCATTCTAACTTTCAAATTTGATTTTTATTTTAATTATATATTGATAAAATAATAATAATAAATGCCATGCCATGAGTGATTAAAACATAAGTAATTTGAAAGTTGAGTAGTTTTTTTGTTGATAAATCTGGGGTGAATACTAGGTAGTATTTGTTTATGGACTCTTAACAAATTGAAAATGAATGCTCATACCCTTACCGGTGCATAAGTTCGAGACCTCTAGGGAGAATAAAGAGTTTCTTAACCACTGAAGTCGATTGGTTCGTGCGAAAGTTTAATAGTTAGATTGAAAATTTTTAAACTTTAATGGTCAAAACATGAGTAAGAAGAAACTTGAGTAACGAATGGTGTAATTTATCCATATAAATGCAAAAAAAACATACTAGATTTTTAAAATAAAGTAAAGACGGAACAAAAATAATAATTTAGGTATTAAAATTATCGTTTACCTTGTATTATATTGTCCAATCCGGTTCGTTAGCTCGGTTCAGAAGGGTTCTGGCTCAATTAAAACGCACCCTCCAAAAACAGCCGTTTCACCCTAGAAACACAAACCCTACCAAAACCCTGAACCTTTCATTCTTTCATTTGCGTCTTTCTTTTTATTTTCCCACTTCTTTTCTCCATGGGAACTCAAATTTGGTGCTTCTAAAGCCAGTAGCTTTTGACGAGAAAGACTTAGGACCTCAACACCGATCCAACGTTTCTTTTTGGGTTCGAAACGAAAATGGCAAAAACTTACGCAATGGGACTGATTTCAGCTTTAGCAGCAGCTTCTGCTTCTTCTTCTTCACTTTTATCCCAAACCAATCAAAATGTTGCTTTTTCTGATGGACCCTTCAATATCCCTTTATTTTCTTCTCCTTCTGCTGCTTCTTTTTCTTCAGGTTCTCCTCAGTCTTCTTCAGGGAAACTGACGTCTCAGCTGTCTGCTTCACCGGCGGTTCCGGCTGATAAGGAGGCTTCCGGAAGTGTTAAGGCTAGGAATGATAACCCTAGGACGTCCTCGGCTGGATTTGATCCCGAGGCTTTGGAGAGAGGAGCCAAGGCTTTGAGGGAAATCAGCAGCTCTGCCAATGCCAAAAAGGTTTCAGCTTTGCTTCTAAAATGTTTTTTTTAAATAAAAAAAGAGAATTTTCTTTGTTGTTATATAGGTTAGATTTGGGTTTTAAGGCCTTCAGGAAAGTTGGTTTCTTTGGTTTCGCATTTTTAAGGGTTTTGTGATTTTATGCCAAGTTTTTCTTTTTTTAAATGAGGATTTAATTTTTTCATTTTCTGTAATTTTGGTTTATTCATTTTGCTAAAGTAGTAAAATTTTGAAGGTGATGGCTTGTTTTTGGTGCAGGCTTTTGAACTTATGAAGAAGCAAGAGGAGACAAGGCAGGCAGAGTTGGCTGAAAGAACTGCAGAATTTAAGGCAATGCAAGCCCAAGCTGAAACAGTAAGATTTCTTCTGAAATTTTCTCTTGTTATCACCTTTTCAGTTAATCAATTAATAGTTTGTGGTTTAAAGATTATTTTTTGAATTCGCAAGTGTCGACCCTTTATAACATCAAGGTCAATATGTTCTTTTGCATTTATTTTGGTCTGACATTCTTAATTTTGTCGCGGCTCTTGACCATTTTAAGCATAAGAATCTCATTTTAAGTTGTAATCAGAAAATTCTTTTATTTTGATTCTCCTATCCCATATTGCATATGATGTTCCTCTAGAGTCTAGTTAGTAAAATTTTTTAGATTTCCATATTTTTTTGCGAATTCTTAATGCACATTCTCTTGAGTGGATTGTCACGTAAGGCTGTGGAGCCTTTTGTATTACATTGCGAAGTTAGTTGTGTGATTAAGTTAATATTTCAAGGTTAGCACTTGATGTTCTGCTTCTGAAATTTATCGTAAAATATTTTCCGTAATTATTTTCCAATTTGTTTTAGGAGTGAAAGTAATGTTTAACACAATGGAGTTAGTAAATTAGCATTTTCATTACAAGTCTGATTTGCGTAAACAACCCTTTTATGCTTAAAGATAATTTTGGAAATCACCACCACATTTGTAGCAAAGCGCTTATTTTACTAAACACTGTAATGTTAGTACTTTATTGGCCCTGCATTTTTTAGCACTTCCCAGTGTAAACCAAATGTTGCAATGTCATCTTCCCAACATTTGAATACCCACCAAACACATTCGGTTAGAATGTCAAGATGGCAAGGAACAAACACCACCTTGATGGCCTTTGGTAGGTAAATCATTTGAAAAGCTGGTTCACCGGGTTCTGGAACCAGAATGTTCTGTATTTTGTGTGCTCTATCCTTTTCTTTTCTAAACTTGCTTTCAAATGTGGTGCTGCATCTTGAAATCCAATATGGTATGCCATTTTTCTTATCGTTATTGTTTCCTATTACCCTGGCTGGTTTCTGGCAGGAGAGACAAAGGGTAATATATGATGAACAGAAGAAGCTAACTCAGCATCAAGCCCAAACAAAGTCACAGATGGCTCGTTATGAGGATGAATTGTCAAGGAAGAGGATGCAGGCATGTACCTATGGATACTTTTGCATTCACGAAATAGTTACCATGAAATATATGGAAAATGAAATAGAGGCTTATGTTATTGTAGGCAGAAAATGAATACCAAAGAGCCAGGAATCAGGAACTTGTAAAACTGCAAGAAGAATCATCAATTAGACAGGAGCAAGCTCGGAGAGCTACAGAAGAACAGATTCAAGCGCAACGTCGACAAACAGAGAGGGAGAAAGCTGAGATCGAACGTGAAACAATCAGAGTGAGAGCTATGGCAGAAGCAGAAGGTAGAGCCCATGAAGCAAAGCTTGCAGAAGAAGTCAATAGGCGCATGCTTGTAGATCGTGCAAATGCAGAAAGAGAGAAGTGGGTTGCTGCAATAAATACTACTTTTGATCATATTGGAGGTATTGATTCCATATCATGCATTCCATCATTGTATGAAGCTTTTAAACAGCTAGATTCTGAAATGCCATTCTTATTTTAATATTTTCTTCAGATGTAATTTTAAAAAGATTGTACATTTGTTGTGGAGAGAAAGGGAGGCATATCCTGTTCTCACCTTTTCTCCAGTTTCTGTATAATCAACCTGTTAGAAGAAACGCATGGCACTAATTAGTCCTGCCACTTCTTCGTTTTCTCACCGTATTAAATCCATTATTTGTTTACTTAGTGATGCATCTTCACTGGACCAAAATATAATTGTTGCTGAATGACGTGACTTTGACATGTTTCTAAGTCACATTGGATTACCTTTTACTGCTTAAGGTGTGGATTAATGTGGGCAATATGTTTTTATATAGGTGGTTTGCGAGCCATTTTGACAGATCAAAACAAGCTGGTTGTGGCTGTTGGAGGGTCGACTGCTCTGGCAGCAGGCATTTATACTACCAGGTAAATAATGGACATTGCTTCAAGATTTGTCACCTTGCATAATTGTATATGTTTGAGGTATTGGTGAATTATTCGAGAAGTTCATTAAACTAGTTCGGTGCCAGAATGTTCTTGTCCCTTTATAGATTTAATTATTTTTCTTGAATATTTATTGTTTTTGATTTAAGGAGCTTCATATTTTTCTGCCTAAAACTCTAAAGCTTCCTTTGTTTTTGCATAACAGTATTGTTACTTATAATAAAAGTAATTTGCAATGATTGTTGATGTTCCTTTACCCATTCTATTGGCTTTTTCCTGTTAAATAAACCCTAAAAACTATTGCATTTATGTGCCAATACCAGCTTCTCAGATTTGTGAATTCTCTATTGAATGTTCTGTTAGTCTGTATTTTTTGGAAGAAATCTCACACAATATGCTCCAGGTGTTTCAGAAAATTCTTTGTTGGAGAACACTGTCTTGGAATTTGTAAAGGAAATTGTAGCTTTGAACTGATAAAGAAAACTAAAAGGACTCAACAGTTAATACTCGAAACCTGGCAGCTCGAAGCACACTCCGAGTGCATTTTTCTCTGTGGGTGCACATGCATCCCCCTTGTATAAACTGGAAATATTTCTTCTAACATATCTTTTGGTGTTTCAGTATCTTCCAACATATCCGAGTTGGTATAGACTCACGAATTTTGAACCAAAGAATTATTCATTTTATTTTAGGACTGGTAATGATAATTCATTTTAAATAATTGGGTGTTGAGATAAATATTTCTTTTGCCCAAAGTTCTACCTAATGGATGAAACATTTTGGGGATGTTAAGATTAAGAACTTCTCTCTCTGTATTTTCTCGAAGACTTGGTGAAATCTAAGTTACATACCTGATACATCATTCTATATTCTTTTATCAGAATTTGGTGCTCTTGATTATCAATTCATTTATTTGCCACAATTTTGAGTGTAATTGCTTATTCATTTGTCGTCCTTATGATGCAGGGAAGGTGCAAGGGTGATTTGGGGCTACGTGGATAGAATACTGGGTCAGCCGTCACTTATCCGAGAATCTTCCAGGAGGAAGTATCCTTGGTCTGGCATCTTTACACGTGCTATGAGCTCGCTATCAAGCAATGGTGACAAAACATCATCAAAAAATGGAAATGGGTTTGGTGATGTGATTTTGCACCCATCTCTTCAAAAACAAATTCAGCAGCTAGCAGGTGCAACAGCTAACACAAAAGCCCACCAAGCACCGTTTAGGAATATGCTGTTTTATGGCCCTCCTGGAACAGGAAAAACAATGGCTGCAAGAGAACTGGCTCGTAAATCTGTATGAACTCGTATACCTTAAATATTCATTTATCACTTACATTTATATATCTTTTATTTTGCAAAAGTTCATCTCTTTGTTATGAAAGAACGTTCAGTTTTATTTTAAAGAAATGCATATTTTGATTGTTTTACCATCTTTTGGATGGTTCAGTCTAAATACTAGACTTTGGGTATACATTCGAGTGTACAAAAATGTGTTGAACACTACTACTTGATGAAAAATGAAGATTCAGAACAACATAAGTTCGGACAGTTATGGAAGTTCCGAAAACATGTCAATATGTTGGTTATGAATGTATAAGCTTCTATGAATATTTCAATTCTGGTTGTTGGTTGATATGTTTGTATGCAACATTAAAATAACTCATAGAAAATGTTTGAACTCCGGTGCCGTTCTGTTTATTTTTCATTCTCTGATATCGTATGGTTCAGGGATTAGATTATGCATTGATGACCGGTGGAGATGTTGCTCCTTTGGGACCACAAGCAGTTACGAAGATACACCAGTTATTTGACTGGGCTAAGAAGTCCAAGAGAGGCTTGCTGCTGTTCATTGATGAAGCTGATGCATTTTTATGCGAGTAAGTCGACATCATTTAGTTATGTTGCTCGGACAACCATGTCCGATGTGAAGACAGACAAAAAATTGAACACGCGTTAGTCAGATACTTGTATTTGACACTTACTCTTGAGTCTAACATATTTCTCAATAATGAAACAGTGTTTTTTTTGTTACTGTTTACCCAGATGTGGAATTAGTCTTATGCTAAGTGGGAAAAACTACATGTTGGATATAGAATTACTCGATAATTGTTGTTTACAAAAGTAATGACCACGGATGATAACATTAGATTTCATTGATAACTCGGAGGTTACCTTTGAATATTGATTAGTTTGGCTGAACTTTCTTTTGCAGACGGAACAAAACCTACATGAGTGAAGCTCAAAGAAGTGCACTCAACGCACTTCTATTCCGCACAGGTGACCAGTCGAAGGACATAGTCCTTGCTCTTGCTACGAACCGTCCTGGTGACCTTGATTCGGCTGTGGCGGATCGAATTGATGAAGTACTGGAATTCCCTTTGCCTGGGGAAGATGAACGCTTCAAACTGCTAAAGCTCTATCTGGACAAGTACATAGCTCAGGCTGGTTCGAGAAAACCTGGTTTGTTTGAAAACCTTTTCAAGAAGCAGCAGCAGAAGATTGAGATCAAAGGGCTGACAGACGATATTCTAAGAGAAGCTGCAACGAAAACCGATGGATTTTCGGGAAGGGAAATAGCTAAACTGATGGCCAGTGTTCAAGCAGCTGTTTATGGGAGCGAGAATTGTGTTCTTGACCCGAGCCTATTTCGAGAAGTGGTAGATTATAAGGTAGCAGAACATCAACAGAGAAGAAAACTGGCTGCAGCGGACGGAAACCGTGCATAATTTGACTTGAATTTTTGATGATTAACAGGCCCGAATTCTAGGGTATAGGGCATCATAGTGTCATTGCCCCCCCTCCCCCGCCCCAAAAAAAAACATCCAAAAGGGTTTAAGATTGAAAACACAATAGGTTTTTGTGTTAAATTTGTTTGAAGAATTCCCATGGTTACCCTAACCAGATTAGGTTATTTTCTTGATAAAGCATCTTCTATGTTATGATCTCTGAATAGGGAAGATGAAATGAAAGGAATATATGGGATTTGAATACATATTTGTTGCCAACATTTCATGCAGCATTTGGTTAAAAAGAGAGCCGTGACTTTGATGGATAGTGTGGCATAGGGCGGATACATTCTCATTCACATTTTATAATATTTCGTTGAGAATTTTCGCATGAAACCTTAGTTTTCTATTTCATTAAGCATTATTTGATAATTAATTAGTATTAGGGACTTTGAGCTACTGTAACGAGGATATTGAAGTATGATATTTTATTGTAACATTGAATTCTAATTGTGATAGGTGAAACATAGGGGCGATGCCCTGTTAGGATTAGATAATGCCTTCCAATTCGATACTTGAAGAAAGTGTAGGGATCAGAAGACCTATCACAATGGCATTTACACTTATCCATTGGAATTTTACATCTTTAATGTAACCTAAAAGTAAAGGCCATGTTGTTTTGTTTGAGAAGACGCATCATCTTTCTTATTCAGTTTCTGAGCTCTCCCATCATCAGTGGCTTTGCAGTCTTTGAGAAAATATCAAAACATGCATGCAACAATTGTTATGATTGGAAGAAGAAGAAACAAGGACAAATCAAAGGATTCCTTTTACTACACAAACACCACCAATATCAACAATGAAACATCACATGGCGACTCCATATTATTCCCATCTATGTTAAAACGTGTATGAAGAATTGAAAAACAACTTTTAGTTCCTTGGCACCGGCTCAGCACTCCCATACACTTGCCAATAGGAAACACCATGCACAAACTCTATTAATGAATAAATAACCATGGGATTTACAGTTTTTTAAATAAAATACGACCCTAACAATTTCATGTTTAGAGACCATAACTCAAGTCCTTCAATTGGGTGGGGGGGGGGGAACCCAGCCTCTTCCTGAATGCAATATAATTTGCAAACTCTTACAAATGCAACCTTTATAAATCAACATCCACTACTAAAGAAAGATGTAGTTTAACAATTCTAAACACCAAAACTGCTTCAATCTAATCAAGAGACCCAAGCATCCCAAGTGGGTAAAAATCACTTTCATGAAGCACTACAGTCAGTTCCATATATCAAAATAGGAAGAAAAAAATGTTTTTATCAATAAAATTACTTCAAGTGTAAGCAAATCCAAGCCTTCACTTTGACACTTTTTTTGCATTCCTCAAATGCCCACAGATTTCCTCTTCGCCGTATACTGCATTCTGCATTCATTAATGTAACCAATCAGATCGTCCCATCTCTCGAACCAAAAAAAAAAAAGAACTACCTTCCCATAGAGCTGTACCAATTCAAACTGTAAAATATAATGGCATAAAAAAGTCTAAGAAACAACCCAATTACATAAATTTAAAAACGAGTGAAATTCTTACTGACACGTACCAAACTACTTTTGTTGGTCAATCAATGCGTGTGTTTGTTCTTTTTTGGTTTAGAAGAAATCAATCCATATGCTTTCCGTCTTGACTCTGATATGTTGGTTGCTTGACGATGCTTTGTCTTGCCCTTCTCAGATAAATTCGTCAAATCACCATTTGAATCCTCCAGTTTTTTGTCCTTATCGTCGTTCGATTTATTAGCAGCATCTCTTGACCTTTTCTTACCAAACTTGTGACCATTTCGCTTCTCCCTGAGAAGCTCCTTAATCCTCAATTTCTGCTGGTACCTCTTACTATTGGGTACCTTCCATTCCTTGTCCGTATATGGAGCAAGTTTCTTCAATGAAACATATTGGTTCAACTCTTTCTCATCCAAAGCCAATATCTCTCTAGGTTTCAACCCATATCTATTTGGTTTGATCTTGACATATTTAAATCTAGTTTTCAAGTCACCAATTGTATCCTCATAGTCCAAATTATAAAATTCCTCCCACATATCCTGTAAAGCTTTCTGAACAGCAGACATTTTCTGCTTCCTTTTCCGCTTACCATCCTCGGTTTCCTCTTCCTTACTTTCCTCATTATCTTCTTCATCTTCACTTTTGTGTTCTTCACTCTCGTCTTCACAATCATCTTCATTTCTGTCTTCAACCTCCTCTCCCTTTTCTTCTTCTCCTGAATCAAGACACCCATCACTCTGTAATTTTTGCTTATTCCTTTCCCTTGCAGCCAAGAAACCATCATTAGACTCAAGCACATCCCACCCTTTAGGAAGTCCAAGCAACTCATCCTCCTTATCGAAGTCTGGTTTCTCAACATTATCACTATCACTATTTAACTCCACATCTTCATCATCATAATATTTCTCATCAAATACAGCCTTCATCATCTTATCATACTCCTCAGGATCAAACTCCTCCTCCAAATCCTTTGCACTAATCGGACAGTCATCTTTCTTAATGCCTGCAATCTCCATAACCTTCTCCATTCTCTCCTTAATTTCTTCCTTCTTCAGATTCTTTAGATGCTTCAACTCCTCTTTCCTTTCCATTTCTGCAACCCTCATTCTCTCCTCCTTCCTTTCTCTTTGTGACTTCCTCTTGCTCTCCTTCTTCCTCACTGACCCCTCTACTTTCCTAGAGTACCCTATAACTCTATCCTCAGCATTCTCCTCATGCCTAAAGTTATACTCCAACTCATACCCCTCTTGCCTCTCAATCTCCTCTTCATCCCTCAACACCTCATCCACTACCTCATTATCAATCTCAAGATCCCCACCTTTCCTTTCCTTATCTATCCACATCTTGTTCCTAAAAAACTCCTTCAAGAACTTGGCATTCTCATCCATTTCCGTGTCTTCCCCAAAATATTCTTCCAACTTCTTTGAAAGTTCTCCATTATTTGAGTCTTCTTTTTCCTCATCATACTTGCCCCCTTTTTCCTTTACTCTCAAGAAACCTCCATCATCTTCATTTTCAAATTCTTCTGTTGCGTCCAAAAGAGCCTTCTTTATCTCTTCTTGTTCCTCATTATAAGTCTTTTTCGCCTTAGCAAGAGCATCCTGTTCCTCAAAATCAGGCCCTTCTTCAATCAAGTGCTTTGCAACCACATCTTTTAAATACATTGACTTCTTATCTTTCTTTTCTTTCTGCCTGTTTTCTTCATCTTCTTTGCTGCTTTCCTCATCATCAGATTCAAAAAGCTTCACATCTTTTTCCTTCAATCTCGGATCACGGCTTCTCACCTAGGTTAGAACATTGAAATTCCAAAATGTATAAATTGAAAAAGTTTCAATTTCCACACCAATGTAGTAAAAGACAACACTTATCTCATATCACTAACAAGCGATCGATTCAAAAGTAAGTCAGATTACTAACGTCAAAGCAAACATTTTATCTAAATTACAAACGTAATAACTGAAAATTGGTTGAATAAAATGAAAACTTAATATATTTATCATTCACGCTATTTGCTTTTCTTTTTCTTCCTAAAAACGATTCTACAAATCAAAACATGATAATAAAAGCAAAATCATAATCAATCAAAAATCGGAGAGCAACTAAAACATAGCACTAATTAGGTTTTTCTTTAAAGAGTAGGGACTGAAAGGAAATTCATTACACTGAGTAGAGCTTTGAAGAAATCTTCATCTTTCTTTCGCAGGGTAATTTCGTCACTGAATAACTCACTGTCCTCGTCGTCGTCGTCAGAAGAAGATTTTTCTTCAGATGATTCAACATGACCTCTCTTCTTCAGTTTCTCGTACCTCTGGAGATCCTCCCGCTTCTTGTTGTGCTCGAATCTTCGAGCATACTCTTTGTTGATTTCAATCTTCGATATATCATCGTTTTGGAGATCAGCATCTTCGTTGAAAAGCTTCATACCCAGTATTTTTGAGCTTTGCCTTCTGTCCTCTTCTTCTTTCGTTCTACTGGCTACGCCAAAAGAAATGGGAAATAATCGTTGACTTTCCAAGAGCTTCTGAGTATGAGATGGGCGGCTGTATAGGGCTAGACCGTAAGATGATAAAAGGTGAAAAATTAGGGTTCTTAGCGGCTTCTACAACTTCTGCGTTCTTAGGACCAACAATTGCTCAGAGTTCTCTATTTTTATTGTGGCTTAAAGCTAAAACAATTGGGTAAATTACAAATTTAGCAATTACATTTTATTCTATCTTTTATTTCACTTATTATACTTTCTGTTGTTTTAACTTAATCACTGAAGGTGCATTAGTTTAAATTTCATGTTAAAAAAATAGGATAATTTTTTTTTAAAGTAGCTATGAAATAGGTGGTGGAACACATTGGATTTGAAGCTTGTAAACAAAGATTTAGCTTGGACTTACAAGTCGGCTCAATAACAAATAAACAAAGGCTCAATTCGCGGCACAGATGAAAGACTCACGAAAAAAAAAATCAGGGTTTGGCTTGAGACCTTATCAAAGAAGCCGCTCGAGCCTACGATGCGGTGGTGATTTCCCTCCGTCAAAACAAAGCGAAAACAAATTTAACTCTAAATTCTTATGATATTCCACCTTTTCATCACAACTAGGGCTGTAAATGAGACGAGACAGATCGCGAGCTATTTGAGATCGACTCGATCAAGGCTCGATAAATACTCGGATCGAATAGACTCGAGCTCGACTCGAGTTCTTAACGAGCCGAAACGAGCTACTCGATATTCGACTCGAAAAGCTCGTGAGCAGCTCGAAAAAATGTTATATTATAATTTTAGATTTTTTAAAATTACATTATTAAAAATATATTAAAAATCTTAAACCCTAACCCCTAAACACTAAACCTTAAACATCCTAAAACATAAACCCTAAACCTAAACTCTAACTCTTAAACCCTAAATTCTTGATCCAATTATGTGATAGGGGTTAAGTTATGCACATGAAGGTAACATACAAATTATGCAAAATGATATTATGTGACTCCTAAATAAATCATTCGCATACTTATATATAAACATATCAACATGCAAAATAAATATACACAACTAATTAAAGAAAACAATCCTAAACAGGGACTAAATTAAGAGAAACCTAAATGTGAGGACTAATTTAAGCTAAATATACTAACTTTAGAATGATGATTAAATTCACTTAAATGTAAAATTAAACTTGTTATCGATCGACACTAACTTGTTATCGACCGACACTAACTTGTTATCGGATTTCTTTTTCCAGTTTTCAATGTTTGGTTCCATCTTAACTATTGGTGCAATGTTTGGTGCTAACTGTCGCTAGTGGTAGGATTGCAGACATGATTGGTTGAAAAGGGTATGTTCTGTTTCGGAATTGAATTGAAAAAAGCATATTGCAAATGATAACTATACTAAATTTCTGACACTTCAATGGAATCAGGCAAAGATATTATCAGCTGGTTTTTGCATCACTGGATGGCTTGCTGTATACATCACTCTTGGCATTTAATTGCCCAGTCATTGCATATCTGGCAACCAAACAAACAAAACAGCCGATGTTCAAGGCATTCATTCAAAAAATAAGCTATATAGAACGATAACTTTAGGTTGTTAAAGTTATGCTTGTTTTCTGAAACATCTCAGTAATCAAATGTCAACTTATAAATTTTCAAGTTCCAACAAACAATTCATAATAGCTATATAAAATATCATGAAGTGTAAGAAGAACAATAAATTACATACTCGGGTGCATGATAACCAAAGGTTCCAAGTACACGAGTGGAATGAAGACGAGCTGCCATATCAGGAGCCTGGTTAGATAAATCAAAGTCTTCAATCTTGGCAACGTCATCATCAAATATTAGCACATTTCTGGACTTAATGTCACGATGAATGATGTGAAGATCAGCCTTCTCATGCAAGTACTCGAGTCCTTTGGCAGCTCCTACATCAATTTTTACTCTTTGAGCCCATGTTAGAACAGGACCCAGCTGAGCTCCCTTGACAATTTTTCTCCCTGAATTAAAGAATAAAAATATTGTGATATTAACAGCAATACATGCAAATATTACAAAATGGAGATTCTGTTTCTAAAAGAGAAAGAAACTTTAAATTTTATAATTGCGTCAGATCATCGCTTCAAGCATCATCACACCCTTGTATGCTTTTCAACTTTTTTTATAACAGGAGCAATGAAAGAAGCATCGTCACATATACCATGGAGAATATCATGCAACGATCCATTGGATGCAAATTTCATAGGCAAGAATACTGGAGCTCCCATCAACACAATAACCAAGTAATTGAACAAAGTTTTCATGCTTCGACCTTGATGCCATGGAAACCTGAAAATCATGAATCAGAGGATAAAAATCTGAAACTCCAAAATTACTATCGTTGAGATGCAGTAAATGGAATGAATTATAGCTGTTAATTGAACCTGGGCTAAAAACTCATCATCAGGTATTCAGGTTGCTTGCTGGCATCTAACTTTTTTATTGCTGCAGCCTGCCCACACTACAGCAAAACTTTACATTTACGGCGTTTTTTTTTACCTATAGCGGCGTTTTTAAGCGCCGCAAAAAACACCTGCGGCACTATGACAAACGTCGCAAAAAACGCCGCTGAAAATAGCGTCGCTAAAGTTCACGGCGTTTGGTAACAAAAAACGCCGCAATAGATAACAATATATAGCGGCGTTTTGTTGGACAAACGCCGCAATAGGTGTTGATATTTAGCGGCGTTTTTCCAACAAACGCTGTAATAGGTGTTGAGATTTAGCGACGTTTTTCCCACAAACGCCGCAATAGGTGTTGATATTTAGCGGCGTTTTTCCCACAAACGCCGCAATAGGTGTTGATATTTAGCGGCGTTTTTCCCACAAACGCCGCAATAGGTGTTGAGATTTAGCGGCGTTTTTTTCACAAACGCCGTAATAGGTCTTGAGATTTAACGGCGTTTTTCCCACAAACACCGCAAAAGATCTAGTATATAGCGGCGTTTTTTGAACAAACGCCGCAAAAGGTCATATCTATAGCGGCGTTTTAAGATACAAACGCCGCTAATTACCTCTCTATAGCTAAAAGAAATTGATTTTGCAAATTAAAACTAATTTGTCAAATGTTGTTTTCTACTCTTTTATTACCTAAATTTAACCTGTAGCATTTTCCAATAAACTTTACATCCATAACAACAAACTTAAAATCCATAACAAGAAAAATGAAATCCATAATAATAAATCAAAGTTTACATTAACGTAAAATATAATGTTGTTCAACATTATTAAATATAATAAACAATAATATCTAAGATATTTTGCTTCTAATCTTACACATTCTTCAAAATTCTTCGTCACAATGAGGCGCTTAAATTCAAAGAGATAAATCTAGTTTATATGGGAAAACAATGATGCAGAGCTAGTATCGTCCTGTCATTTCTTGCACAGATATTTTGCTTCATGAGGTCTTACTCCAATTGGCATGCCACTTGAAAAGGCCCCATCCATGGCAATGCAAACCCGATCTCTAGTTTCATATCCAAATAAATCATCAGTTTATATGAAAATCCATTATATCTTACGTTAAAAAAGTTAACAACACATTTCTGCATGGTCAGTCCCAGCAGTCAACAACTCTATGGCATGGGCAACCATCATGATGATAAGCAAAATATAGAGACATATCTTAATAATTGTGCAGAAACATCCAAGCTTGAATTTCATGATAACTTCTAACAGCTTATCGAACCAAACATATTTTTAAATCAATAACACCCAGAAAAAGGCTCTAAAACTGTATTCCTAACAAACTGAAATATATAAATATGGAAATATGACAGCTTACCAAGGACCAAATCCTTTCAAGCATTCTGCTAAAACAACCTGAGAACAGACAAAAGCACAATCTAACTTAAAGATAAGGAAGCAAAAAGAGAATTTAACGGAGATTGTAAATTAATATTTTATCCCCATTTGTCACCTCAGTATTTTCCCCAAGAATTTCAATTATAAGCCCCATCAACTTATGTGCAGAGGCCATTGGTTTCAATTGAATGTTTTTCTGTGCCAAACTGTACATGCTTTCTAACCCCTAACAGAAGAAAATAAATAAACGAGATATGTAATACAAGGAAAGTACATACCACCGTGAATGGCCTGATGTATAACAAGTGAGAAATATACAATTCTATCCAATGGCATGTTGCAGAGCAGAGACTATTAGCATTACCCAACATTATTTGTAACATACGGTAACCTACAAAACATCCGAGGAAGAATAAAAAGGGAGTCGGCCGATGCTTTTTAACAGTAAATTTGGTATTTGTTTGCGCAATTGAATTTACCCTAGTTTCAAAAATGTATTGGAGCTTTCGTAGTCGTGTCGATTACCGTTGGAAGTACAAACGTTGGTCACCGACTCCGACAAAAAAACCATAAAAAATGAAGTAAAATTTATAATCATTAGACGACTAGCTATTAAATTCAATAAGATTAAAAGACCACATCAAATCATAATAGCAATCATTCACGTCAAAGTAGTAATGTTGACAAAGAAATATAGTGATTCCTCAACCAACAGATCCAAACATCACAATTTCCATATCACAATTTACCTCATCCAACATTTCCAAACATCACAATTTCCAACAGTTCCAAACATCATTCCCAATCTTCTTTTGAATGCTAGCACCAACACCATGGGACTCTGCTGTATCAGATTCCTCATTCCTCTACAGTTGAATCATACTGAAGCAACAACGGCAAAAGGTACCTAAACATCCAAATGACACAAGTTATCAAGTAATAAAGGATTATAGACGTAACTTATATGATTGCTACAATGTCATTCTCATGCACATCCAGTAGAAATAGTTTTTACATCCAACATAAAAACAGAAAAATCCTAATAAATGTATAATAATAGGAAAAGATAGAGAAAGTAATGACACCAAAAAGACTTGAACATAAAGTGTGCAACCACAAGAAACAAATAGCCGACTATTTACTCTCTATAATATTCTATACTGGAGCATGTTCCCTGGGAATTTATAAGAGTAATCGACTTCAAGAAAAGAAACACAATAGTCCAAGAAGGTTCTATAAAAAGTTGAATCATGAAGCTACTGATCAATCATCTTGCAGAAAC